GGACTACGAACCAAAACGGTGTGAGGAAGCAGCCAGCTGCCAGCTGGCTACAGGAAGGGCAACACGCTTCCAATTGCATCGGTCATGGCTAAGATGGAACTACGAACTTCTTCGAACCGTACCGTCGTTGAATACCAAGAGGCACGTTCCACAGCATGATCTTGGTCCACTGCACCGCAAGCACCCCAGGATGCAACCTTGCTTGTCGTGGCACGCGCAGCTAGTGCTAGAGCCGGGTATCACATCGGTGAATGCAGTGAATGCCCCAACTTGCATGCGAATAAATAAACCCCAGGCATCGGCAACACAGTGCCAACGTTTGCTACAATGGGTTGAAGTGACATGTTGACCAGCGATAGGCCGGACAGGGGTTGGTTGAGGGAGATGGGGGAAAAACCAGACAAGGGACAGGTAGCAGGGGGGACTGGGATGCCCCTGCTTCGAATGAGGTTAGGAGAGGAGATAGAAGCAGATGCCCAGTGCAGGCAAATGCATGCGAAAGTGGGTGAGGAGACACCTGTGAAGAGGCCGGATCAGGCTTCAGGAAACAGCAGCTTAACAGCGGAACAAGGGAGTATGAGGAAAAGAACGAAAAACGAACCAAATGGACAGGGCCCGGACAGAGGCCCTACAACTATCGTGGCATTCTCATAAAAGGGGGCATGGCAGCACGACAAAACAACAGGTGCAAGCAAAGACGCGCATGGTAGCGTTGGGACACCCTATAAGCAGCGAGGCAAGCAAGACTTGGCCGAGCATCCAGCCACGGAGTGGACAGGGTGGGCAGCATAAAGAAAACAAACCTACAGAATACAAGGTCAAGCCTAGCCCTTTGGGTATGTGTAACTATAAATATGAATAAACAAACAAATAAATACACACATATATAGATATAGATATATATATATATACATGTGGACAACAGCCTAAACAAAAATCACCCAACCATTCCACACGCAAGCTCAAGGCCCAAGTTGTTCACATCGTTTATGGTTAAATGGCACATTGCGACAGTGATATATTGCTTAATATCGGATTTCCATGTCTTTCATAAGCTTGGCCTGGTGAACGTTATCCAAACTTGAGGTGTCAAATATCTTATATGATATCCCGTTCGTTGCCTTTCATGTGCCAGAAATGGATTGTTAGCAACCGCAAGCATCGATCGAATCACAAGCAAGCGGGCGGGTACAGTATGTAACCTAACAGGTTGATAGCGGCCATTATGGTCATACATAGTATTCCTGGATGCTGTTGTTAATGTCGTGTTCGTACGTGAAATATTTTTGCCGAAGTGTTTAATTGAGTGTTGTCTAGCGCCGCTTGTTGTATGTGTTGCATGCAGTACTTGTACTTGAGGCTGTATATATTCCATGTTTCTGTGTCTGTTGGTCTTTGTCGTTCCTTTGAGTTGGTCGTTGTCGGGTCTTTGTCGTTCCTTTCGTGTGAGTATACTTCCAATCTTCCAGCTGTAACATCAACTCCAAAACCCCAGCCCGTTTAAAAGCTAACAACAGCAGCAGCAACATCAACAATATCAGGAACAACAACAAAACCCGCAATCAGAACAATTAGCAGTAATCATCCTCACCGTGTTCGAAAAAATGTTGACGAAAATCACACGAGTACACTCTTTTAAGTCCTACATAGATGAAAACAATTGTGAGCAATATGAGCAACCGTAGATATGAACAATCACCGACCGTCAGTATCACGACAAACCTTATATTGGCGTGAATGCTAATCATAATGTATCACTAATCAATAACAGTTTTAGTACGTCCAGTTGTTTTCCTTTGCGCGTGTACGTTTCCAGCTGTTTCAGCCCTCACAGCAACTCCAAGTCCCCTTCGTAAGGCCGGTGTTCAGCAACACCAACACCAATACCAGCAACAATAACAATTTGCAATTGGACGCGGTGCGAGCGGGCTCAGCACGTGGCGGGCAGTTGCCGCACTGGCACTCTCAGCTTGACAAAGTCTAGACAGTGAAACCTCGTTTATTCAAGATCACATGACATGAGACTCCAAAGCAAAACAGAAGCATCTGAAGATAGGAGTGTGGCCGCTCACTGCTGTACAATTTGCAAGCTACTGCTGCTCAGAGGGGTACCTTCTGCGGGCTTGGTGCTGATTGATGGGCATGTGCGCAACTGGTCAATAGCACAGTGCGAAATGCTTTTGCAACAATAACAACAACAATAAGAACAACAACAACAACAACCGCAGAAACAAATGATGAATATGGTAAAGACGAGTACCAGACGAAACGGTTCGAAGATTGACAGGTTAGTTTTATTTGGGGGAGGATGGGGAGGTGGGTCACCGAGATCAACGGACGGGGGGTGGGGTAGGATTTATCACAGTCTGTGTGGTCCGTGTCTTTTCTTGAATTCTATGTTGTCGTGTCAGTCAGACTTTGCCTTTCTTCAGCAACAGCAACAACACAACAACGAACAACAAAACCCAATCACAACCACGGAGTCATATGATGGAAGTACTGAAGATGTTGATGATGACAATGAAACGACACAAATTGAACATTGGAGCTTCTGGCGATGATTATTCTCCATTCCTCAATCGCAAGCAGTGTCCCCCTCTTCTCTTTTGGTGTTGATGCTCTTGAAACCGTTAATCGCAAGCAGTCCTGCTTATCTGTTCTTGTAGTCTATGTTTCAGTGTCAGTCGGACGTTGCCGTTCTTCAGCAACAGCAACAACCCAACATCATCAACACCAACAACAAGAACACCAGCTATCAAGGAGTCGCATGGTGGAGGTCAATAAGATGTTGGCGATGAAGATGCCACAAGAAAGCTTGACTATGGAGAAGTTGGCTGTTCTTTAGAGGGAGGAAGGGGGTAGAACATAATGACTGAAGGAAGGGGGAGGGGTGTGATGACGAAGAAGATAGGGTGGTGAACTCCAAGCAGTGTCACCCTCGTTGGACTTCGTCTTTCATTCACCACAGCAGCAACAACAGCAATTGCAATCCATACGGTCAGCAGCTAGTAGCACACCATTGATATTTACAGTGATTAAACCAGTACTAGCAATAAGTCACACACAAATCAAGATATGAAGAACGGCAATTATGAACAAAAGGTGCCATCAACATCATAGCAAACCAATGTTGTTCATAATGTAGCAATGTAGCACACATACAACAATGATAGGGAGAACATGTGTTACAAAAAAGCTTATGTTTTGAAATGTCGGCGGAGGGGTTTAGCTGCCCTGCCCTCCCCTACCCTGTCCCTGCCTCTATCCCCTGCCCAGACCACCACCTAGCCCCCCCCCTACCCCGCGACCTTTCCATCCTTGTCTCTCCTCTGCCCACCCCTACCCTTGTCAGATTAAAAATGGAAGGTGCTGTGCAACCCATTGTCCCCCTCCTACAGCCAAAAACGCAAGGCTTTTTGTGAACCTGTGTCGTCTTCCAACAACAAAGGGTTCATTTAGGGTTTAGGGTTTTAGTGTCTCCACATTCAGAAACGCAAATATTTCGTAAACACGATTAGTCAGTATTCAAATAACAATTGCAGTAATTAAAATAATCAGGATTTTAGCTATTTTACTTAATTAGAATTTTTGGCACCTCAAACATTATATAATTAAAAAATACCGATTTTAGTTTTTTAGTTTTCATCATTTAAATCGCCGGGGTTCTGATTCTGTATAATAAAAAATACTATTGTAAATATTGTAAAAAGTTTGGGCTCACAAATAATTAGAATATTTAAAATCCCTGGCTTTGTCTAGGGATTTTCCCCTATGCAAATAACCAAAATAATCAAAATTTATTGATTATTTCTAACCGTTTTGGCACCAAAACATTGAAATCATTGAAATACATAAAACATTAAGGAATTTGAATGTTGAATATTCTTTGAATTTTGGCTACCAAAAAATAAAAATAAATATAATCGTTTTTATTTTGATTTTTGAATTATTTTGTTTATTGAAAACGCTGGGTTTCTGATTTTGTATAATAAAACAGTACTATCGTAAATGTCGTAAAATTTGGGCTACCACATAAATCAGATAATGAGCTTCGTCGCTGTAAACGAATCAAAACATTCAAAATATCCACAACCATTGAAGTAACTGAAATATCTAAAATAATTAACATCCCTGGGTTTGTATTTTGATTCTCTAATCTATTGTACTTATTTTAAACTTGTACCACCTACATTTATGAAATCAAGGCGTTAACCAGACCCTAAACGGTCCTCTCTCTCTCTCTCATATATATATATATTGCACTTCTGTTTCATGCCAACTAAAAGCAGAAATTGGAAATTGTTTCCTGGCAGATTGTCGGGGACTCGCAAACTCCACACCCTAAGACCCTCAACCCGACTAATCCCAAAGGCCTGAACCCCGTGGGCAAGACTCTCTTTCAAACTTGGCCGGCCACCGAGTCGTCAGACTCTCCCGTCAACCTCAGAAGATTGACAGGACAACTTTGCTGTTCGAACTGAAGTCATCTATTCTGGATATTCCAGAAGTCACGTGCTTGGTCGCCATAACGCATGACGTTACTGATCTCAGGCCATGCCTCTTCACACAAACTTGTCAACAGAAGCAGTCCATGTGTAGCCAGGTGTCGCCATCCCGTCACCGCTGTCAGCACAGGGACCAGGACCACATGCGCTCACGGTCGAATCCCGCAACTTTGTGCTTTCTACCGATTTATGCTGCTCTTTGTCCCTGCCATAATGGTGAGGGCTTCGAGGCTGGACCGAAACATGTGAAACTATCAGATTTGCCTCGGTTGGGTCTCATTGTCGTCATTGCAAACATGCACCACAGATCTGCAACTCAGCCTGTTCTATGCATGTGAATGTTATGGTGCAAAAAGCACTTCAGCCATGCTGAACCAGAGGCAGCCCGATTCGCATAACGTCACGTGCCATAGGCCAGGCCGCTTGACTTCACCTAGCAACCTAGTGTGCTGGCAGAACTGCAGGCAGAAGGCTTCGTTTTTGCCATACCACTCATCAAGACAGCTTTGGGCAAGCTCCAGTCATCCTGCAATTCACTGCATGCTCCGGAAGATGAGGTGGTGGCACTGCAAATGTCCATGTTCATACAAACAGGAACATCAAAAAGTGTGACCTGGCTGTAGCACAAGACCGGAAGCACGGCTGCTGTTGCAGATCATCCTGCAAGCGCAGCACAACGCGTCGGAAGTCTTGCTTTTTGGGTGGCTCACAGCCTGCTCCCATGGCTCTGGGTCTTTGCCAAAAACCATCGTGCAGCTCAAGTCCTCTCAGAAAGCGCGAGCTGCGAGTGAAGAGCTTTGCTAGCAGCTAGCACCATCCTCTTCCCTAGGCCTCCATGTTTGGCTCCATCGAAAGTGGCATTCCCAGAACCTTTGCCGTGCAATGTCAGCTGAGTTTTTTGGAGCACTTGCTCACCGAATCCCTCGCAGCCCACCTCTCCGAACATTCGCTGCATAGGCCTCTTGCAGAGACCTACGCCTGGTTTCAAAAGTCGAGAGCACTACAGAGCAGCTTTGAGCAGTTCACTCCTGAACTTTGAGACACGAACACATTCCCACGCAGCCACTCCTGCATGATGCTTTGGTATCGCTACGGTAGAAGCTGTTACATGTCAACAGCATGCTAGCAGCACAACGTGCTCTGGGATCCAACAAAGTTGTTCCATTCCGAGGCAAGCAAACATGGGGCATGCAGGCTTGAGCTCATCTTATTTTTTGCGTGCCTTGGCCCGGTTTGCAGCAATTCAGTAGGGTCATAAGATGTAGCCCACAGTGATTGTGTAGCCTCGCATCTCGGCTGCGTACTCGACAAAGCCGGGCGTCTTGTCCAGCTCAATCTCCAGGTCGTTGATCACATTGGTCAGCATCGGAATATTGCATGCAGATGTGAGATCGGAAACGCAGGAAGCCTGAGGCTTTTCAAATCGCAGGGCCATTCGGGTCAATCCCTTTGGACCGAGCGCTGCAAGTAAATAGCACTTCATTGCATCTACATGGGTGATCGCGGTCAAACCTAGATCTTCGGGTTTAGCAAAGCCCATGGCACCAAACATGAAAAGAGCAGAAAGGATCGAAGACTTCATGGATCCTGTCTCCATGTCGAAAGTCAACGAGGACTCGGGCTCGATGGGAAGCAACGATGCACCGTATGCAAAAGGCACAAGGCGATGTGACATGGCGTTGTTGCGCAAGTTCGCCTGGTCCTCACTCTTCGGCACAACAATGTCCGTGACAAGCCACTCCAAAGAATGGTCCAAATGAAAACCAGCATCCACACCTGGGCAAGAACTCCCAAAGCGCTTCAGCCTGCACCACAGGGACACTTCGGAAACATCCTCTTTCTCCCACTGCAGCTGTGCAAACTGCTGCAGCATTCGTAGGTCCGGAACTTTGCAAGCTTCAAGAAAACGATTCGCGAGTCTTAACATCAGCTCCTTGGGAGCTTTGATGCTCAGCTCGAAGGACTCTATGTCCGTGGGAACTCTTAGCTGCGCCGCTCCTTCAGACGAAACTGGGCATGCCTCATCAAAGACAATCTTCAGCCATGTCTCGAAAAATTGCTTTTGCTCTACACTGGCCTTCTGTGCTTCCAGTAAGAGGTACGCGGCCTTTTTGATTCTGTCGTGGCGGTTGTATGACCCAAGGTGAGGGAACGGTCGTCCCTCCCCGAAGCTTTCCTCTTCGCCAATCGAATCCTTGCCCTCCCTGCTGGAGTGGCTTGTGCTCTTCTTTGAGAACATGGCAGACTCACGTTCGGAATCCTTCCCTACATGAGCCGAGAGCTGAGCAGCTTAATCCGACTTGACTTCACACTCTTTGAAGGACTCGGGGACGCTGAGATGCAAAGAGACATTCGCACTTCTTGCTTGCCCGCGCCTCTCAAGCCAGCGACACTTTTCGATCTTCACAGCGCAGTTCCAGGACTGCAGGACGCAAGCAAGGTCTCTGCTTCAGCGCGATCAGAAGGAACCCATGGCGCAGACTTGCCTCTCCAGGGGGCACCTGCTGCATCTCCTGCACCGCAAAAGGCAAACGGGCACATCATCTTCAAACGTAGCTGCAAATCTAAGAGAGAATCGACTGCATTCCACCGCCTCAGCGGTTCGTGGCTGCACCTTTCGATCGGACGAAATGTCATGGATATATGACAAAAACAACTGGGTCGAACAGTTTGCGGGCACTCCTTTGCCTAAGCCGCTTGCCTCGCACTTGCCGACCATGAATGGGAAAAACACCTGCACCAGCAAGAAAGCTCAGGTACCACAACTCGAGTGACCAAATCAGCAACCGACAAATTAGTGAAGCGTTTCCTCTCTGAGGCATTTGCCGCCGTGATCCAGGCATTAAGCTCGGTCCCAAACCTCGGGTGCAGAGCAGCTTTGAACATCCACCGGATGAGGCGCATCGAGCACAAACGAACAACGCTTTCAACACAGTCGGGTTGACGTAAACAGTAAATGCAGCAGCCTCGCTACCCAACCCGCAGCCTTGCTAATCGTTGTTATTTGCAATGGCCGTCCAGCACCATCCGGGAGCGGACTCACGCAGTATCGATGGGATTTTTCCCTCATCGATGCAGGGGGATGCGCATTGCCGGAATGTCAACAGCGGTAGCGTATCTTCACAGGGAGCAGCTGGCCCAACCCCAGCGACACTCAGAACCTCCCAGAGATGCTGAAAGCGCCAGTGCCCGTCGGTGCCCGTTGCCCTGTAGGTCCTGTAGGTGTTGATGTTGAGGGGCTGTTGATGCAGAATCTGCAGCTCAAACAAGTGCAGGCGTGGCCCATCTCACAGGCTGAGAGGTATTCTTAACACTTTACACTCGCACACGGCGACTCGTGGCGACTTGCAGCGATGTAGCTGAAAGCCGGCACTTGCATCTTCTGACAAGACAATATCAAAATTATCCTTCGCACAAGTCTCGACCGCAACCTTTGCAATCCTCTGGCCTCTGGACATCGGAGCTGACAAGCCTTGTGCCGTGCCTCCCAGTGCCTCAAACATCCCACAAATCTCACAACTCTCTAGCATATCCAATTTGCTGCAAAGGATCTTGTCTGCTTGCAGAGCCGACCGGAAGCGAGCCTGCAAAGTTGTCAAGGAGCTCGCTAGCAACCTTACAGGATACAGTCTACAGTCTTCTCCATGCAGACTATTGCAGACTCATGAGGATGTCCTGGTTTCTCCAAGAGGTCGAATCTAGCCTCTGATTAGTGATATGTTGAATTCTCCGCCCTCAAGCGAATTATCTTGCACACCGTTCCTCGACCATCGTAGGCACATGCATGTCACAAGCTACCAGAAGATTGCTTCTTGACTCATGAACAGCTTTTCTGTGCAGGACCGCCCTATAACTAACGGCATAGGATGTCGAGATGTGCGTGCCACTTGTAGTCTGGACTCATCAGAGACAAGACTATGAGCTTTTCCACCTCCTGCCAGACTGCTTTAAAAGCCAGTCGATGTTGAGTTGTTCTGTTAAGGCCTTTGATGCTAGCTTACCCGGTTACTTATGATAGCGATTTCGGTGCATTATTAATTAATAAATATATAACCGAGGAAGTGCTGCCAGTCAGGCGCCGCCACATGCAGCTGCCACCTTTGACCAGGGGCAAGTGTGTAGGAATCAGGCAAGCGTGCGCTTCAAACAAGCACCTGCGCCGGGACGGGAAGCCTGCGTGATGCTTCATGGCCAGCTTTTTCGGGGGTCCTCATAGGGCAGCAGCTGTCGCCAAAGCAGCCGAAACCAGCAAGACCCGACCGGACCAACACCGCGCGAAGATTCGCGATGCACACTGCACAATCGCTTTGCAAAGTTTGCTCAAGCATGAACACTCACCTGCTTGCTCTCCTCGGAAAGGAGTTTACGTGAAAGGACAGGTGAGGCAGGAATGCCTGCCATGGTCACATCTCATAGAATTAATGCTATTCGAACAGCGCAGGGCCAATAGGGATGTACCTTGTCTGCGTGGCTGGCGAAGGAAGGCGCGTGGAAAACGGCTCGAGCTGACTTGGCCTCTCGGGGCCACGCGGAAAAGGTGAAAGGGCAGCTAGGTGGGCGAAGCTCAGCAGATGTCTGTCAAGCAGACGGCATTTTATGCAGCTGCCACGAGTTACTTGGCTGTAACCTGTTTTTCTGCACTCGCTGTGCAAAGCATAACTCGCTTGTGCGTTACATTGACACCCGGCACTAGCTACGACATGACTGCGCGACTGCCCCTCCGCAGTTCAGGAATCAAAATGTTAGCTCCGAAGACGGATCCTGTGACCATTCAGCGGAGATGAATGAAGCCGGCATCTACACATCGCTGCAAACGCTGCTTCTCAAGCTCGAGGATGGACTGCCACCGAGACAGCGAAAGCTCTTCCTCACCATGAGAAAGGCATATCGATCTTGCCAAGGAAACCCACCTGCAAAGAGTCGACTGTCCAATTTCTAGAAACTTGTTCCGCATTTTCGCATAGTCTCCACTCATTGTGTGAGCCACGTCCTCGGGAATGCGCAGCTGTTGAGTATGACGGGTGATCAAGCCAAGAAAAAAGCGCGAGGCATCCAAATTGGAAGATTCCTGGCAGTTCGTGATGTCAGCGTCCTTGCAGAGCGGAAGCATCACGGCATCAACCTTCAGCACTGAACAACCCCTTGAGGTAACGAGGCTGTTGATCTCCAGCGGAATCTCCATGGTGCAAACTGAGAAATCGCATGGCAGCGTTTGCTTTGAGACTATGTTCTGAACTGCACCAAAGGAAGCAACACCTTCTGCATTTAGATGTCCCTCATCCAGCTGCGTCTCATCCAACACGAGGACGGTGCCTGCGGATAGTTGGAGTTTGCCAGCCCGTAAGCGGTTGGCCTCGAAGTCCTTCCGTGGACGCCAGCCCCCGGAGTTGAGTAACTCCGTCGTCAGGGGCAGGCAGACAGCTCGGGGCATCAGTTCCTGAATGGCACGAAAGAGGTTGCTGACCGTGCCCTGCGAAGGGTCTAAATGGGTGAGATTGAGAGACCACTGCCCAAGGCCAGCATCGTGGGCACGGGAAATGAGCATGGCCAAGACGTACTCCGCTGCCACGCTGTCGCCAAGAGACTTCTGCAACAAGGCGACGGCTGTTGCCCGAGCAGCCACGACAGCGCCAGGACCTCCAAGCCGGCCCTGAAAAGCCAAGGACAAGCGCTCTTCTGACAGCCAACTGGCTGTGAATGGGAACATTGGATGATAACTCTGGAGCTTTCTGACCAGGAGCCCATGCAACCTGGGCACCAAAGCTGTGGATGGATCACGGGCATCTGCACCGGCCGGACTCCAAACTTCACCGAGGTTGGCCATGGCTGGGTCCACACAAAGGATGCCCAGCACCTCCACTGTCTCACCCAGTTTAGACAAAGCCTCTTCATCCTCATCGTACAGCTTCACAATGCACGGTGTCTTGCGCCTGTCTGTCTCTTCCCAAGGTAATGGGAAATTCAAGCCAAAGCTGTCTGCATTTTGGCCCGGAGATGCTGCGGGGGCCGAGTTGTGCCTTGCTCTGGCCGAGGAAGGCAAAGCTGTTGGGCATTCGGGGCATTCGTGGCTTTCGGCTTGAGCATCGACATTCTCCATGTTTATGTCCGCGTCCCGGCGACGCTTTAATCCCATTCCCGAAGCCAGTGTGGCTTCTGGGCAGTGTGCGCCGGAATGCATGGACTGTGTTGGCTGATTTGCCCAAGAAGTCTCTCCGGGAAGTGGTACGCAGTAGTATGCTCCACGCATCCTGAGTGCAGCGTTCCCCACATCCTCGAGATCGCCAACAGGAAGTCGTTCTCGATACTTCAAGTTCACCAGGCGTAGATCTCCCTCAGTCTTTGTCACGCAGAAAGCAGCATACATCTCTGGATCGAATATGTCCTGCACCATGCATCGATATCGCACCAAGCTGAATGGCGGAAGGCTCTCAACCAACTCTACATCATTCAAGCATGGGATCTTGCTGAAATTGTCTTCCTCATCGAGTCGCAGAGCTTGTAGGAAGTGGGCCTTCTCACCCCACTCATGAGGAGGATCCAGCGTGGAACCCTTGGTGCGGACTGCGAAGAGATCATCAATCACACCCAGTGGATTGTAAATCTCTCGCATGGCGGTGCACATGGAGCTTTCGAAGCACTGTTGCTAACAGCCTGGAGCAAAAAACTCACGCGAATCACTTCAAATTTGCGGACAACTTCATGCACACCAGCGGAACATCACGCATCTCACACGGCCTCTGCGACAAACTGCTCCAGCATCATCTCCTGCATTCTGCAAAAATCGGCCATGGCAGGACCAAGCTCACGAAATCGCTAAAAAGCCCTGTCCGCCTCTTACCTCTCTCTCGGCTGTCGGAATAACAGGACAATCGGCTGTCAGTGAGTGACGATGCCCCACATTTTGAGACGCCAACCTGAGCTATGGGATCGCGATCGATGCCGTCCAGCACCTGATGTTTCCAGGGGTGAACACAAATCGGTTGGGGCGATTTACTGCATCGAGGGTGTGGTCAGCCTGGATGACATACTTCCTGAACGTCTCATACCTTGCAGTCAGGGATCGGCAGGAGACCACCAAGAATCAGGACCTGAGAAAGCCGCTTCACAGGATAACCTTCCGGATCAAGGCGCTCCTTGAAGAGCTTGCGGTACCTGCGAGCATCTGCGCCAGCACTGATCATGGTTCGAGCTAGCCCGCATCGGGGAATTCAGTCATGCCGTATAAGGCTATCACTGATGTCTTGTTGGGTGTAGGCAGGTGTGGGGTACAAAGCGAACGGCAGTTTTTTCGAGCACTGCACTGTTTCTTGTCGGTGCAACCCAATGTTGGCCCATGGTTTCTTTTCGTGACACTTCTCTCCCTCTCCCGTTGAAGCAACTGCAACATGTTTAGAGACCGGCACTTGCAAGATGGGCCTGTATTTCTATTCGTTGACAGGCGGAGTATAAAGTTCAGAAAGGGTACGTGCGAGCAAACACCAGTGAGGCAGTCCTGGCTTTCACGGCCAGCAAGTTGACGTCTCTTCCGCGATGGAGCAGAGCCACCTGAAATCCAGCCAGAGCAGCAGCAGCAGTTCAGAGCCATGCTCTCGAACGCAGAGGAACGACTAACGATTAATGCTTATCCGCTCACCCTGCCAGGCCTTGGAATTCAACTGCACGAGCTCCTCGATCTCTAGAAGCCCATTGCCGTTGAGGTCGTGCAGCCTGGGCCGTACAGCAGCTCTCGTTCAGAAGCGTGACTGACTGCTGCAGGCAGGTTGCAGAGTCTCGCTGTGAAAGGGCATGCTGATCTAAACTGCTAGACCAGCACTGCTCTGTTTTGTCACTTTGCCGTATCGCCGAGTCTTTGTCACTGGCACTGCACAATTTACTGACCAGAAGGCCACACACACTTTGCACACTTAGTTTTAATCAAGCTTGTCCCTTCTTTTGCTTGTGAAAGGACCACGCGACGGGCTAGCAGGCTAAGACAGGCTTTGGCACGCCATGGCTGTGCCAAGCGAGCAACGCTTGAGCACCTGCTGCATTTCAGCCACTCGGCTCGAAAATAGACATTTGACGCAACTGGACGGCGTCGTGCCCACGTGTTGCAGCCAAACTATATCATCATACGCAATCATCAGATGTTGAGTCGAGTGGCGGATTGACAGGAGTGTCAAAGCCCATCTTCATGTCGCTATTAGGCACAAAAAATTGGAACCGCAAGCTCTGCAGGAGTGACACGCCAGCGCCATGCCTCCAATCGATGTCAATACGGCTGAATGCAGAATTGCTTTCCCTTTCTTCTCGTAGCACTTTGCACATCTAAGGCGCGTGCCGTTGCCATCGACAATAAATCTCAATTGATCATGATGTACGGGGTCGGTGCTGACAAAGGGCCGTCGCCATTCTCTTCCACCCCTTGGAATTCCCTCGCCTGAGCGGAATCTATAGACGCTCAAGATTGGCGGATTGGCCTGTAAAGCTCGCGCAAAGATGCAGGCAGGTGCATAAGCGTGCGCGCGGGTGTGTCTCTGTGTGTGTGTGTGTGTAGAGGCGCGCGCGCGCGCGCACGCGCGTGGAGGCGGTGGCAGGGCCGGCGCATGAGTGTGAGCATGTGTCTGTGCGTCCTAAAGGATCATGCCTAGCTATTCTGAACACTCCAGTTTTTACTACATGTGCCCGCATCTGTCTCCTGTCAAACTTTGCAAGGGCTGTCTGTTCCGTGATGCCAGCCAACATCAACCAACTAAGCAAGTGGAACCGGCAGAGGTCTACAGTCGGGACACGTCGGGCTCATTTGGCAAACACTTTTCCTCAATGCAACCGTTGCAGCCACCTGACGCGACTGCAGCAATAGGTCGTCTCAATTGTCTGTCTCAGGAATGAGGCAAGCCGGCGACAGGGACCAGAGGCATTGAACCCAACTCTTCGTCGAGAACCACAATGACTGACCCGCGCATCAAACAGTAACCAAAACAGTATGTTGTGCAGCAGTTGTTCAGCAGCGAGAACGCTTCCGGTAACAAGTCGCCTTGAACTCAGCAGTGTGCAATCATCCGTTACGCCAGCGGTCCCGAAAACTTGCCGTGCCATAATCCCATCAGGGGTCTTGTGCGAGGACCGTCCTCGTCCATGCACACAGAGCATCACGCCCTTCTTTGGTGGATCAGCTTACATACAGCGTCACATTGCTCGATCATCTCATGCAAGCCCGTGATCGCGGATGATGACGCCAACGCTGCCAATCTGAGACTCATCATCCATCGGGATCATTGCAGTAGGGTGACATGTGCTTACAGTGAGCTTCATCGGGATCATCAACTTTGCAAACGCAGGGAGCTGTGCTGAACGTCTCAACGTTTGTCTGTAGTCTGCTGACTTTTCGGCAAGGTGGGGCCAGTCGTCCATCGCGGTCATTCGTGCCGAGCTGGTGTGTGTGTGTGTGTGCGTGTGCATCCAACGCTGTAGACGCCAATCTGTGTACCCGCAACCGTTGCTTGGGACACTTTCCAAGCTGTATGCTGTGCATTGTGACATTGGAGTTGGTCGTTCCGTAAGTTTTCCTGCAGAAACTGTGTGGATAATGGCGATGGGGCCTGCCTTGCGCCACGCTTTTGACTTGTGTGTGTGTATATATATATATATGTGTGTGTGTGTTTTCTCTTAGTTGTATCTCGTAATACAAGTTATACACATCATAGGTTCTGGCTTGGGCACCCGCCTGTGCAGCTTTTGGGATGCAGCAAGCCTTCGAGGAAAGCAGTCGTTCAATGTGGGTTCGCGGGACTTTCGGCACTTTTCATCTAGACTTGGCGAGTGATGACAATGGCAGGCAAACGAGTCCTCGTAGACGATGCCGAACACAAGCATGAAAGCACCGATGGCGAACCACATCCAGCACCTTCCGCCCCAAAGCAATCTCGAGGGCAGCATGCTGGTAGCGGGATGCCACCCCACTGTGATGGCGAACTAGCTATGCCTTTGCCAAGCGACAATGCGTAGTACCATTGGTAGCAGAACAGGTCGAAATAAACGGGCAAAGCCGTAAACACACCTGTACTCTCACAACTCACAAATCTCTACTCCAGCCTTACAAGTATTTGTTCACTCTTCGCTTCACGCAGCAGGATTCACAGCAACCTGCTGCGAGCATGACGACAATGCCCAGCAAAATTCCACTCCTTACATTCCAGAGCTTTCAGAAGCTGCCAGGCGGAACGATATGCAAAAGACGTGCCGCGACAAAACTAGAGCCGTCAGCCTCAACCCTCTGACTGCATACTGCACATTGCCAAGACACAGGCCCCATTGGCAGTGGCAGTTTTGTCCAGCAAGACCACCAAGCCTGAGTCCACGCATAAGTCAACTGGAAGTCCCATACAAACGCCCTGCAAGAAACAATGTAATCAATGCCTTGCCAATATCGCCAAGTGTCGCCATGCCGCAATCTAGGGCCGCTGCGCGGTGCAGAAGCTACGTAAACGATCGGAAAAAGAACTGTGCGCTGCATCCGGAGTAAACACCATGCAATAGACAGACAAGAGCACGCTCCATTCAACCCAGATCCAGCCAATGACAAAACTTATTGCAAGTCCTCTCGCAATGTCCGATAAACTTGAAGGCGCAAAGCTGTATGGGATCTGTATGGCACATGGCTTCTGCCCGCTGTCTCTTTTTACCGAAAGGACTTACACGGCAGATCAAGGCATCTGTCTCACTTTCTCTCTCTCTCTCTCTCTGCATGGGTAGTCCTTGGAGTCCCTGGTGCAATTGACGGTTTAAACTGCAAAATAAAAGTACTAAGTAAGTGTTTTGATCTCACACTCCTCCTCAACTTACTCCGCCGCCGCTTGTTGCGAAAACTTCAACAGTCGCTGGGGAGGTTCTTGGGTGTGCGGACACGCATGATTCTCGATGGCTATCCTCCAGTTGGGCTTGCCCAAGTTAGTTCTACGTCTGCTGGCAGGTCGCTGAGGCATTATGATTCAAATTACATTTACTACTCTCCTTTTCCAGGATCTGTTTTGCACTCGACTCGTGACTTCAAATGCACATAAATGAACGGTGTGTCAGAATGAAAGCAGCTGCTTCGAGCTCGCCCATGCAACGAGTGTTGGACCGAAACAGTTCTCGCAGCAGGCTCTCAGCCTGGACAATCGTCATGAAGCAGGTCACCACTCCAGAAGAGAAATCCGTTTGATGCAGGGCAGCCTGAGGCTAGCACTTCACTGTCGCAAGCCTGCAGAATTCTGTGCTGACAAGGGGTCTCAGGCTTGAAGCGGGCAAACCAGTTTTTCTGTATCTTGCGTTAGGCGTTGATTCAATGCAGCTCCGTCGTCTGTTATCTTCGTGGTTCGTGCTTTCGTGATCTGCTGCTCCGATCGCCTTCTTTCGATGCTCTCTTCTAATCCATGAGGATGCAGAGGGTGGCTCTTGTCAGCAGAACTTCTCCCAGCTCCCAGCCGAAGCAGACGTTTGGCGGTGGACAAGCGCGCCTCCGTTGTCTCGTGGAGCACCTCGTTTTGAGCGCTCACTTGAAGAACCACTTCGTTCTGCCGGACTCGGGCCTGGTTGGGCACCTCCTCGCATGGTGCTGCCGCTCGACAGCAACTCTGCCTTGAGCTACCACTTTACGTAATCTTATTTATTAGCCTGGTTTCTCTTGTTGCCACCCACATACTCACCAGCGCTTTGAGCCCAGCGCCCCATCACCAGTGCCGGCAATAGCGGCTTCGATGTCACACGTGTGCTGTGCCCCCTTGATTAACGTCTTGGCTGTGTTGATTTTGTTGCTGACCGGCATCGAACCAGACCTTGTCTGCAAGAGCTCTGTGAACAATGCCTTGAAAATCCTGAAATACACACCCCGCGTGGACTGCCCAAAGCTGGCGAGCTACAGTACTGCAAGCAGCGGCGAGGCTCAGCGACTTGCACGGTTTATTCTTACTGTTTCCTGATCCGCGATACTCGCCTTGCCCTCTTCGGGAAGCAAGCCGTCGATGACTGACATCGCGGAGTCCTCTGCAGCAGTGTCAGAAACTGCTGACTACAGGAAACGTAACATTTCATACATGGCGTCACGGGAGGGGATCGCATGGGTGTGCCAGCACAAAACTGCCGCGGTGAGAAAGCGGGTCATCACAAATGAACACGTGCATAACGCTGCATTCCTCTCGATCTTTGCCCAACAGTTTTGGGAGTTTGGAAGAAAGATGCTGAGACGGCAGATGCATGGCAAGGGTGACAGGTCCTCCGTTTCTTGAAGGCTCCTTCCCCACTGCTGCGCATGCGCCACCTCCAACATCCCGTCATAGGCCTGCTGTGGCAGTTTCCGTCGTGGCTTCAAGATGTGTTTGCGACAGCAAGCATATGTACAAAGTCTAGTCAGTCTAGAGAGTCTAGTAACTCTAGTACTAGCATCACATCACGTGATGAAACCTCAGGTTCGCCGGTCAAGGATGCTGTTGAAATTAACACATATCTAAACTTGGACAGGACTTGACATTGCAGGCGACAGTACATAAAAAAACTTCTGGCCTCTGGCCCCCAGAATGCTAAGGGAGACTGCCAGCCAGCGACACCAGACATGACCTGTCAGTACCATGAAGATCTGCGAAAGCCGGTTGTTCAGATTGTGCAAAGATGCTGCTACTGCCAGAGCCGGTGCGGAGTGGTATGTGCAATGTGAGCCTGACGAAACACAGCGATGAACAGCACATCCAACGGACCGTCGTTGTACCTGACAATGCATTCGAAGCCGCTGCCAACTTAAGCGCAATAATGCGGCATGTGTGCGGTGTCAAAGAGCCGCCCAAGGGATCGCTGGCTGGTGGAGATTGTCGCTGTAATTGAAGGAAAGCCTGACCAGACCACGAAGAAAGAAGGGATCAAGCGTCAGCGACCAGGGCTGGACGAGCGGGGAATTTGCTTCCTTGTAATGGAAGCTGGCAGCCCTTCCCGCTCTTGCCTCAAGTTTCTCGTACGACTCTGGGCCTTCTGTTGTCAGAAGTTGAACGTCCGATGCTCTGTTGAATAAAGACTCTATCACAAGAGCGAGATCCGCTGCCTTCCGTGGCCGATGCTTTTGCCTTAACCTGGACAGTTCAAGCTTCCAGAAACGGGGCAGCCTGCATTCGATCTCTGCACGTTTCGCCTTGGCAAGTGGGGTGCGTCGCCGGTTGATACTTGGTAAAGCAACCTCGTGGTTTTGACACGTGTGACATGAAATGTGCTCTATGCATCGTAAACTCTTTCTACGCAGGCACCAGGACTCCATGTATTGTAAATGCGAACGGCTACGGCTGAGTTCTGAACGACTGCAAGGCAAGCAAGGCTGCAGCTTTGCCATCCTTCTTTGGAAAGGTGTCCTGCAGCGCCACTAATCACAGCAAGCCGTTTTTGCCCTTAGTGCTTGCTGCGTTGTCGCACCTGGATGGCTCCTTCGGCTGCGTGGGTGCGGTGCAGAGCACAGTTGGCCCAAACATGGACAAGCCGATGGCCGCCAGGTGGCTTCCATGTTCACGATGGCAACGTGAGCCTCCAAAGTCCCCTGCAGCCCGCACAAGTTTGGATTTGACCACGTCGCTTCCCGAACTAGCTCAACCTCGGAAAGTGAAACGCGTCTGGATTTTAGAACTTTTGCTTTGCAGCCCCGGAATGACGCATTTAACTTGCAACCATGAAACGCTTGAGTTCTCGCATGCTCGTAGTGGCCAACCACGAAATCGAAGACTCACGCTTAACACGAATCGGTGGCTGAGTTTGAACCATGCTTCGGATCAGCGCGCTGTTGGAAGATACTGTGCGACAGGGCCCACTCTCTTCTCTTGAATATCTCATGCATGTCCGTGCGCTTTCAACTCCGGTGTCAGCAACGAAAGCTGAAAGCTGTTTGTCTGTCGGGACGTCGCCCAACCTGCAAATGGAATCGACAATTGCGCACTGACAGATGGTGAGCAAAAGGAGGCCCAGGCTGAAGTTGCTCGTCGAAAATGGAGCTGAAACACAAGCCCACGCTGTGCAGCCTGGTGCGGGGATTAAGTTTTTTGGCCACGCTGGCTGGTGCGAAGATCCCGAACACACGACGTATGTAACTGAACAAGGCATGAATATCACCACCATTTCATCATCATCACCGTCATCATCATCAGCTAGGCATGTCAAAACCCTGATGGCCGCTCAAAGGCTGATCATTTTCAGCATCGATAGCTACAGTATTTAATGTTGTGTGGTGCGCTTCTGCAATGCAACGCACGAAACTTCGGAGGTTCCAGCAGCTGTACGAAAGGCTGAAAACTGCTTCGAAAGGAAAAGCTGATGCAGATCAATCAACACGCCATCCAGGGCAGGACGGGGCGGAAGAGCAAAAACTGCGGCCGGGATTCAGGTCGAACGTGTTTCACATGTTAAAACCCTCATGGCCGATCAGAGGCTCATATTTGTCAGCATCGACAGCTATGCAATCTTGTGTGGTGCGCTTCTGCAATGCAAGGCACGAATCTTCGGAGGTTCCAGCAGCTGTACGAAAGGCTGAGAACAGCTTGAACAGGAAAAGCTGATGCAGATCAATCGGCATGCCATCCACTCTGCAAGGGACACCTCAAGAGCCGTACACTTATGACAGTTTGGGCGAAGAGGGCAATCCGCAGGTCAAAGCAGAAGTAGATGGTCGTAAATAAGGCGGCCGCCTTCACTCGGACCACGGGTCGGCTGGGAAGCTTCAGGAGCAAGTTCTCCGCAGCAACTTCCTGAAGGTAGGCCTCTCGCGTGACCTGATGGCGGATGCGCATCGGCCACTGGAGCGAAGACAAATCGGTCCCTCGGTGGCTCTCCGCCACAGCGCCGCCGCCCCTCAATCCGCCACGAGTGAGCTTAAAGGACTTCGGCGCCAGGAGTCCCAGCGGCTCCGGCAAGAAGCAGGCGAACCGGGGCTGCAGATCCTTGAATACGTGCTCCAATAACGGCAGCACTTTTTCGTTCAGCACCGAAACCTGCTGAATTTAAGCTTTAGTTCACCGGTCTGTTTTTGGAGACCTAAGTCGGAGGGCAGCAGCAGATATGACTCCAAGGCTTTGGTCTTTGAGATCTTTGGTTGGCAGTGTGATCCTCTTTCTATTTGGAGTGGGCGGCAATTTCTGCTGCCGTGCACTGGCAGGTACACATGCCCGGATGGATTGATCAGGTGTGCATGCGGTTCGCGTTGAAACCATGGCCTCAGTTGCTCCCCGGAGCAGTTGCAGTGATGCACCGGTGGCGGTGGCAAGCCTCTCGCGATGGGGCGTTTATTCTGCGCCGTGGTGATGAGCGCCGATTTGAAT